GAGAGAGAGAGAGAGAGAGAGAGAGAGAGAGAGAGAGAGAGAGAGAGAGAGAGAGATGCAGGTAGTGGAACTCCGGCAAGAACACAGTTCAACATGTTTGTGGGAAAAGTCCCTGATTCGCCGGGTCCTGTTGCATTTGATACACCTGGCCGCCATGAACACTATACAGTGGGCCAGGAGGATTTGTGAGGACCTTGCAGTGGTACCATCCAGAGGCAGATGGTGCAGGTGTATCTCAAGCAGTGGGGAACGAAATTGTTATTTACTTCCCTGTCTTCTGTATAGTCACTTCTTTTTCTGCATGTGCTTCGCTTCTGTAAACATGTTTGTTCCAGCCTTCCAGGTATGAATTGAGGATAAGCTCTCTAAATGGAAGTTACAGATTCATCGATTGAGGATAAGTTCTCTAAATGGAAGTTGAACATTCATCACTTGTAATATCTGAAACAGCGACAGGAGATGTTCTCTCACCAACTCTGCCTCTTATAGTAGCTTTTCCGAGTGACAGACCTGGATGAAGTCTGTGGACCCAGTTCGAGCAGATTTCCGGTCGTTTGCTTGTGTGTGGGTTGTTTTTTCTTCCCCCAAGATTGTATTACTTCCGTTCCTTCCTCCTTTTGTAGAAGGTGCAAAGAACTCAGTTCAAAATCGGCACAGACACAATCCAGGGTGTATCTTTTGGTCTATAGTCCAGATTCAGGGGTCAAAAGTCACATCTCCAGCCCCAGATTGGTCTCAGGAAAGTCCTTTGGTCAACACATGCAGGGTCAGGGGTCTAAAGAGGCAACCATGCCCCCACAAAGTGGTACTCGACTTTAGGAAAATCAGCACAGGGTCAAGGGTCAAAAGAGCCAACCCATCAAAAGAGGCAACCTGTGCCTCCACTGATGGTAGTTGACTTTGGGAGAGTCAGCAGTCAGGCCCATCTAGGGAAAGGTAGTCAAAGTAACAGATTTCGCAGTAGTCACCCATGGGTACAGCCGCACGAGGAGGCAAACTGAGGCAGGCCGTCAGCGGTGTCAATACGACAAAAAGGTTGCATGTCCCAGTCGGCTCATTCATTCTGCCTTGCGCCGCTGGAGGTTCGAGTGCTGCTCGACTTAGCTCTGGAGGAGGCAGGAGAGGCTTGTGCCAGGGAGGACGTAGGCAGCTCCAGCGAGAAGAGAAGAGAGGGAATAGTCATAGGTATAGGAGGTGCTAAGTGCGACAGCTGAAGCTGGTGCCAGGGAAGAAGAAGGCAGCGCCAGCTAGAAGAGAAGAGAGAGCATTCAGTCATAGCTATAGGAGGCGCAAGTGCCACAGCTGAAGTATAGAGGAAGAGTGAGGAAGAGGGTGATCATGATTTGTGAGGAATGGGTCCATGCACATGGTGAGGGAGAGTGATCACTGCGGAGTTTGGAGCTGGATTGAAGTGCTTCATGACTTGTTATCCATTGTGATTAGTTTCACATTGGCCGCATTTAGACCGTTTGCCTCCCTTTGTTGAACCTTCTCATGATTGATGGGTTCTTTACAAAGGTTTCAGTGGTCTTCAGGGGGTGTGTAGTTCAGTTGGTAGGTGTCCAAGCCAAGTTTTGTGAACTGGCGTGGGTGCGAAATTGTGTCGCCAACCTTTTCCATTGCATAGGCAGAGTCCCGGAGAACATGGGATGTGAACTGCAGCCAGCGGTAGGATACAAGAGCTGGGAAATGTACTGGTGGTCTATTCGGTTTAAGTTCCGCTTAACCACCACAGTAGCAGCTCCATGTACAGGCCTGAGAGCACACCTACGTCAAAGTGACCCTGAACAGTTATGTGCCCACCCGAAACCAACAGAAGGGATTGGCTTCCACAGTGTCAGTGCCAACCAGGCTGTAGGGTCAGAAATTCTTTACAGTGTCCTATGGGGTGAGTGTCAGGATTGATCACATGGGTACAATTGGCCAGGCAGTGGGCAGGGGAGTATGATGTACTTCATGAAACCCAGCACGAACTGGCTATCCTAGCACCACTGTCTTCTGTGCCTTGCCTCTTGTCCTCCCCCAAGCATACCATCTTTTAAGGAAGTTGAACCTCAACACCATATTCGGGATGCATTTTACTGGCATATTCGATCTGTCCTGTCCAAATATGTATGTTTGTTTGTCTGTCTGGCTGTCATTCTCTTTGTCATGCGCGTGTGCATGTCTGTGTCTCGTTTTTGTTTCTCTGCCATGGTTCTGATGTGCCTGCATTATTCTGACTGGGGTGAAATGCGGGTACTTCGACCTCCTGTGTCTCTGTCAGAAATGGATAAATGTGGTCAGTTTCAAGCGGATGCTCTGCCACAGTTATTCTGGGTTTGCCCTGAACAAACAACCAGATTTCAGTGGGATTTCAACGGGTGAGTGGGACGCTGTGGGGTGTGAATGCAATGATATGTGTATACTTATGTGAAAGTACACATACATTTGCAAAACGTTTGTTGATATGTGTATATAAATGTAACAGGCAATGAATGTTAGGCACAAATTTATATTTATGCCATGGGTATGTAGGCCGAGTCTGACACAGGTCTGTTATGGCCCCCATTTCTTTATGTGTGCCACAATCCTGGCCAATTTCGAAGTGCAAATTCACAAGAAAGTACAATGCCGTCCAATTGCAAAAGAAATGAATGAACTTCAGAGGAGAGAGGGGTGAAGAGGAAGAAGAAGAAGAAGACGAAAGAAACAAGGAAGAAGAAAAAGAAGAAGAAGAAGAAGAAGAAGAAAGAAACAAGGAAGAAGAAAATGCACACCAGCAAAAGACCAATGATAATTCCCCCTTCTTCACCATCCAACTCCTTATCTCCTCCTCTCTCATTCAAACAATAAATAATACTAATAATGATGAATGGCTGAACCAGAATCAATGTCAGAACCCCTCTTCTACTGCCAGCACAACAAGAGGTCCACCATAGCCACAGCCACCCTCCTGTCTCTCTTCATCCAAGCCTAGGCTATGGCGGACTACTAAGGGCCTTGCCCTGACGTGCGAAGACAACTCAAAGCAGCTATGGCCTCTTCCTTGCAGGCCGCCGTGCCTGACTCTGCCTTGAAACTTCTTGATGCAGCGCTACCCCAACTGGGGCCTTCCTATGCAGCGCCTACCAAGGTGATGAAGATGGCATCCACAATAGCCAGGTAAGTACGTCTGGCGCTCCCCTCTCCCAGTCCCCTCCTTCCTCCTCCTCGCACCTGGGGTATTCCACCATAGCTGAGGTGGTCACCCAGGCGCTCCTCCTCCCAGCGCTACTCACCAGTGCTCAACCTCCAGGCGCTCCAGCAGCATGACGCCCAAACTTGCACGCAGAAATTGAGGAGCACTTTGCTCCTCCCGGAGATATAGTGGCGACCTGCCTCTTGGGCGACGACTTCCAGGCTGTGCGGCCTCCAAGCAACCGTACATCCTCCCTTTCGGAGGGAAACATCATTGCAGGCTCAGATATCGTCTGCATGGGCCCTAGACTCAGGCTACATGGACTGGTACCTGCCTAGACCTAGCCCACCGCTACTGGGCCTTCAAAAATACTAACTTTTTGTCTTCTTCTGCTTGGCCTGCCACTACTCCCGTTCGACTTGCATGTGCTAAGCATGCCGCCAGAAGTACCTACGGGCGTACACTACCGCTACTTGAGTGTGCCCTAAGCTACCCTTTCGGCCACTAGAATGTTTTTCCCTGCCGCAACCCCAAAGTCACGGCCACAGGTAAGTACCAGGCCTACGGGCCTCCCAAACAAGTGCCCTGGCGGGCCACACACAACTCAGGCCGACGAGCATGCAGACCAGCAAACACGCACACACATAGACTTAGAAAACTCAGCGAAAAGCGGGCATCTTAGCAAGGCATGCATTCCAGTGGCAAAACTCAGAAATCAGCTGTGTATGGGCTTCTCACTGGAGTAGCAGTAGTTGTATTGAAAGATACCTTTGTGAAATAGCCGGCCATACAAGCCATCCATCGTGTGAGGCCTTGCCATGTTGATGGCTTAGAAAGGACACTGTATGTAGGTTCAACATGAGAGAGTAGGCGGATAGGATCTCTCCATTGTCTAGTGGATCAGTGCAAGAGGTGGGGAATGATGTGCAGATCTGGGTTGGCCATGCCAAGCTTCGGCTGTGACCTCCTCAGTGTGCTGCTATTTTGAGCTTGAGCATCTGTATCTGGCGTTGCTGATCTTCGATCAATTTCAGAGTATGATGATGACAATCCTCAGAGGCCACATGCCAAACACATGGAAACTACCAAAAAATTGTGACTTTGCTTTGCACCTCTCGAGGTGCTTTGCGTGAATGTGGTCCAATCCTCATGGTGAGATGAGGTGGAGGAGCATGCATGGACTTGAAATAGGAAACTTCACTGTATCTTGGAACACATGGTGTCCTGGCCTTGAATGTGCGACCCATCGATTTAGAATTCTTCCCATATGCGCTATGGCCTTCCTTTCATAATGTAGGCAGAGGCCGTAAGCGCTATGGCCTTCCTTTCATAATGTAGGCAGAGGCCGTTTTAGATGTGGTGCTGCCAAATGTCTGGAGTTGTCCTGAGATGTTCCACCGGCTAATGCAGGAGAATCTCTGCGCCTGGTGTTAAGAGGACAGAAGGAAGTTACAATAGACGACCAGGAGCGGTATGGGAGAAAGTTTTGGTGACATGGGGAAAGGAGCAGCAGAATAAAAGAAGTACAGTGAATAGGAGAAGAGGACAAAAGGAAGATGTGACATAGGATTGGAGAGGGGGGGGATAGTGTCTGAACAGATCTTAATGGTTGAGGTAGAAGGAGAATGTGATGGAGGGTTGGGAGTTGCAAGGGGCACTGTGAATTACAAACATCAATGTCGAATCTGTAGATCAGTGGCACCTGGAATGGTTTCTTGGGGATTTTTAAAGAGAACAGCAAAGCTCGGTGAATTGACAGGGGAATGGAGCAGGAGGATAAAGTGCAATGCATAGGAGAAGAGGACCAAAGGATGATGCGAGGGAGGCCTGGGAGAGGTACGGCAGAAGGTTTTGGTGTAATTGAGAGAGAAAGGAGCAGGAGAACAAGGTACGGTGATTAGGAGAAGAGGACATAGTGAAGATGTGACAGAGGACTGGAAGAGGTGGGGGGAAAATGGCTAAGGTAAGGTCAGGACAGATCTTGATGGTTGAGGTAGAGGGAGATGTGATGCACGGTTGGGAGTTGCGCGGGGCACCGTGAATGGCAAACGTCAATGTAGATTAGTGGCACCCGGAATCGTTTCTTGGAGATTCAGGGAGATCAGCAAAGTTCGGTTGAAATGGAGGGGCGAAAGGAGCAGGAGGACAAAGTTCAATGAGTAGGAGAAGAAGACAGATTGAAGATGTGACAGAGGGCTGGGAGAGGTATGGGAGAGTTTTGGCGAGATTGAGAGGGGAAAAGAGCAAGAAAACAAGGTACAGTGATTAGGAGAAAAGGATGGAGGGAAGATGCAAGGGAGAACAGGGAGAGGTGGGGGGCAAATGGTTACGTTAGGGTCACGACAGGGAGAGGTGGGGGGCAAATGGTTAAGTTAGGGTCACGACAGATCTTGATGGTTGAGGTAGAGGAGAGTGTGATGCGGGTTTGGGAGTTGCAAGGGCCACCATGAATGACAAACATCAATGTTGGTTCACTCAGAAAAGACAAATGGCGACTAACAGGAGCGATGCAATGGGATCTCTGGTGCATGTGTATGTCACCATGTCTCCTGTCCTCCACTTTTCTTGCTTTGATTTGTTGCTCCATTTCTTGTCTGTTAGGACAATGCCAACCCAAGTACTTTCGTGCATGCAGACGAACGTTGTTGTCTGGCATTTGCAAATGATGTTCACTTCTGGGGGGTCTTATTGGATTGCACCGGGATGGTTGTGGGCCCATCTGTGTGCACTTGACATTGACATCTCTGAATGATGGAGGGGAGCGGGACCCACTGGGGATTGCATTATCATGTATCATTCTGCTGTCAGGCACTCGTCAGATGGTTGCCTGTCAGACTCTTGAACGCGAACTGCCTTCGGCCACATGTCCCTCCTTGATTTTTTTTGAGTCTGGCAAGTGACGTCTAGAGTCTTGGCATTGGTCTTCAATTAGCCTCACTCCTCTACGCGGCCGATGTGAGAGGCCGCAAGTGTATCTTTCCGCTAGAACTGGAAAGAGACGTGCCATTTTTTAGTTTGGTGAATAGTGGAGCCATGCCTTGGCATCTACCAGAGCCATCATGGTCAGATCATGGAAGTTTATTTTGCGGCTTTGAGTTGCGTGTGCTCCACTGAGCTTACTTAGGAAAATTTGCCTATATTTAAGTGTGATGCATACTCCGTATAAAAGTTGGGCCTCCACCTACCCGGTCTTTCGTGGATTATTACGTAAAGCCCGTCCCCTTCTTTGCTACTACGGATGGGCCAACACCGTCATCTCAGGGGCATTGCCTGATCGAATGGCCAAGTTTGGCTTCTGCTTTATCGCTGTTGCTGTAGCAAATACGTCCCCAACGAGACCGCTTTCGACCTTCTCCCAGCTACCAAACTGCCGTGGGATGTGCTCCAACCGACTGAACTGAAAAAAGCAAAAAAGTGGGTGCCCGCTTTGTGACAAAAACTTTTGCATCGAATACTTCTTGGGAATTCCCCATATTAAACCACCAGTACTTAACCCATACATCGGCCGCGGGCGTTTCCCGTTAACGCGCCACGACTGATGGGCTTCGGGCTACCGGACCACAATGCCTGGAGGCGCCAGCCAAAAGAAAACCGAAACGACATGGTGGCGGCTCGGCAAAACTTGGCGCGCACGGCGTTTCCCGGCTCGGCATCAATAGCTGGGCCAAGTACTGGTGGTTTAAGCCAGTGGAGCACGACTCATGGACAAACACTCTCTTGTCAAGAAAGTAGAGCAAAGAACTCGTGGCAGGTTCTACTGAATCCCATGAACGAAGTCACTGCTTCACATTTGTTCCATTCATGTTTTCTTCTCTTTTCTTTTTTTTCCCTTCAAATTTTCACCCATCGTCTGGCACAAACTTCTTTTGTAAAGGAAGTTCAGAGAACAGAACTTTCACCAGGTTCTGTTGAATCCGATCCGCAAAGTCTGTACTGCTTGACATTTGTTCCTTTCATGCGTTCTTCTTTTCTTTATTTTTTCACTCATCATCTGACTACACGTTCAGCATGTTCCTAACCATGATGAGTCCACGTATGAGAGAAGAGCAAGCAGGTCAGACGCCCGATTCATTTTCATGTATGGAGATGGTCATTCTGATGTCCAGATTCATGAGGTGACAGTGTGCCAGTTCAGCCCCGACTTGAGAAGTGCATCCCTGACAGAGTTTCTAGTGCATCTGAACTTGGTGGGTGCTCTATGGCATAATCGACCAGCCCACAAGTTTGGAGCAATCAGATATATCAGGTCGTTTTCGGGGAAGCATACCCTGCTGGGTGCGAGTGCACCATCTGAACTCGGCACACTTTGTTCGCAGGAGGTGTGTGGTACACTTGATTCTTTTTTCTCTGTTGTCTTTTTCAAAGGGAAGTAGCCCCTGACGCTACTGCCAGCGGCATCAGCCTGTGGTGAAGGCTGACCTGTATGCCGAACTCACTTGCAGTTGCAGTTCCTTGTATACCAATGCAGGGCAAGGGATTTTTAAGCGAGCAGTTAAATAATACCAGTATAGGCAAGGCTGATCTGCTGAAGCACTTCCACTTTTTTGGCTGTGTGAACCAACGGCAGCCTTGATACTTGGAGTCTCCAAAAGGACCTGTTGGGACTTTTTAGGAAACAACAGTCCAATAGCTATGGGGTCGACCATATCGCATGTGAGGAAATAGCAGTCTGCTAGCAGATTGAGTCCAGCACTAAAAAAACTTGTTGAGGACTCGACTTCCTGGTCGTTCCTAGTAGATTATTCCTGACATGACAAGGCTCAGCCACTCTTGAAAGAGTGACGTAAGGGTTCAAACTTCGAACTCGCCTTGAGGGATGAGTTATGCTAGGTTATTGGGAAAAACAAAACATGACAAGGCTCAGCCACTCTTGAAAGAGTGACGTAAGGGTTCAAACTTCGAACTCGCTTTGAGGGATGAGTTAGGCCAGGTTATTGGGAAAAACAAAACATTTGCCAGGGCAGTGGTAGCACAGGCACGGGTT